TGTCCTGACTATTTATGTTGGGCTATTCTGGTTTCGAGGATTGTACCTGTTTGACCTATATATGAGAGAGGACACTGAGTACATGTTGCCTTGTAAACCCCACCAACTTTGAACATCACAATGGTATACAATACCGACAGGGTGTGTTTTTAATCAGTCTTTATTTCACTGTCCCCGTGTTTTTGAAAGCAAGGCTTATATTGATCTTTTTTAATGCCTCATTTTTAATGCCTTCTGTAGCAATGCTACAGAAAATCACAGGATTGCTCATTATGCCAGTGGTCTCATGATGGATTGGTGATGCTCCACCGGTTGTCTACGCACCAAAACACCATGCTACGCCAGTTGATGTATGGTTATATAACACGTTTAGCTGTGATTGCACCATACATTGACAAAATTACCTGATTACATAGGTAGTGGGTTAAAGGACATTAGTAGTAGAAATCTGGATCATAGAAAATATTACTGGAATGGTATAGAAGAATCCCAAGTAAGGTATAAAATCGAAATTGAAGAGAATAGTAGACAATATAAAGGATATGTCTCAGAATCCCTGAGAACATTCGGGTACAGCACATTTAAATGGACAAAGAGCACATTCATTTCTTTTCTTTTATTAATTAAATAGGTTACACAGAATAATAGCAATCCATATATATAAAATCCCCTGAGAAACGTATATTCTCTCGTTACAGGACCTGTTCTAAATGGTTAGAAAAAACCTTGGGCAAATTATTATACCTTCAAATTTCATATTTCTTGACTTCTAAAAGCCCTTTTACCCTACATGGGGGAGATGAGGGATGGTGGCAGTGGTGGGTGTGACGCTGACCGCTGGCCACATTCTAAGAGAGCCAGGAGGCGACAGGCCCACTCTGCGATATTCTGAGAAAATACTACCCCTCACTCCTTCAGTTGCAACCTTGCATAGCTACTGATGACGCACTGAGAAGTGCGAAAGCACTTGAGCTAAAGATTTCACACCCCCTGTGGCTTGTCTTGCATAGTTAAGATCGCCTGCCTGCGATTGTTTGCAATATATATATATATTATATATATATATATATATATATATATATATATATATATATATATATTATATATATATATATTATACATGAGAGGCAATAATATTAGCGATAAAAAAAATGTCTCTGAGTGCCACACCTGTGGATGCAACAAAATTTATATAAAATATGCGATTTTTATTAAACCATGATCATTAAAAAATGTTGTCATCCCGTACATCATAAAATCAACATGTATATTCGTTAAGTTATTAAAGAGTGAAACTCGAAGACGATATTACATTAATAAAATTGCGCCTTACTAAAGCAGATAAATAAATGCAATAGTAATTACGAAAGAAAAATTATTACCAAGATAAAATGAATAATCTCTTAGATGATACTGAAACCTGTTGTAAACTTAGAAAGAATCCCTTAGAAACCATTAACAGAAATTTCAATAAAACTGTCTCTCTCTCTCTCTTAGTGTCCCTAACGAGCTGATGTATGAGGTTTTCCAGTACCACCTCCAACATCTTTGCCCTCCATGTTTCTGGGCCCCACTGTGGTTCCATGTTTTCCCAGTCGATTTCTTAGTGTGACTGAAGTCACCAACAACCAGTAGCTTTGTTCTGCCTATATGGGCCCTTCTGGCCACTTCAGCCAGTGTGTCAACTATTGCTGTGTTACTCTCATCATATTCTTGTCTTAGCCTCCCGCTATTCTGTGTGTGGGTGATACATCATTGCAATTACCACTTTGGGACCTACAGACTGAAGTGTTCCTATTATGTAATCTCTCCTTCTCCTCTGTCTTCTCTCTCCAGCTCCTCAAAAATCCATTGGCTTTTGATAAGCAGTGCCACTCCTCTACCCCCCCCCCTTCTGTTCCCTCTGTCTTTCCTCAAGACCTGATATCCAGTTGGATAGATGGGATGTCATCATTCCTATAAGCTTGGTTTCTGTGAAAGCTATGATGTACGGTGATGCCTCTGTGATTCTTTCATGCCACTCCTCCCACTTATTCATTATTCTATCAGAACTGGTGTACCATACCTTCAGTTTCCTCTCCAGCACTGCGTTATGGGGAGTTTGTGGAGGTTGGAGGAGTAGGGGACCTCGCAGAATGCTGCGGGATTCTACTGCATAGTGTTGGGTGGGGGCTGTGAGTGTGGATTATGGTTTGTATGGGATAGTGTGTTTGGCTGTGGGGTTTCGAAGGTGGTTCTGTGTGTGTTTGTGCTTCTTGTTCTGCTGCTCTGGCTGTCTTCTGCTGACTCTATCCTTGTCTCTCTTCTAGCCCCAGTTCTCACATCTCCAGGCATGGGAATGCAGGATCAATTCCTGCCAAGCCGCAGTTCTGTTAATGATTCAAAATCATTTGTTTTGTGATTTCATTAATATACATACTGCTCGTGAAGGCTGATACCCCAAACAGGACGAGATTCAAATTAGTCTCTAAAAACTCCACGCTACGTATGTCCTTCCATCAGGTAAACACGCTCAGTACTGCTCAGCGACTGGTGTTTAAGGATCGTTGTTCAAGTGGAACAAATATATGTCGTGTTGAATAGGTAAAAACTTGCAATTTAGCTTAACAGCAACACTCGTCTTGCCGATAAGGCAAGCGAAATTTGTATATGCAATAATTTCACAAAAAATAATTCTGAACCTAATAAAAATATATATTTCATTGTAAACTTATCTAAAATATATTAGTTAGCTTAAGCTAAAAATTAATTGCGCTTGCTATAATAAAGTCAGGTAAGCTTTCTAAGGTTCTTTTGGTACAAAATTACTATTTGTTTACATTAACATAGATGAAAAAATATATCTTTAAACGCATAAGAGAAAATTTTAGAAAGAACTTAATTTTAAATGAGTTCTTGCTAATTGACCAGTTTTACCTATTATTCAAGACATATATATAAACATATGTAGATATGAAATATAATTACAGATGTAGGGGATATCAACTATGTGGATCCGGGCTCAAGACTGTTCAACAGCCTTCCACCAGCCATAAAGGGCATTACCAGTAGACCCTGGTTGTCTTCAAGAGGGAGCTGGACAGAAACCTAAAGTTGGTGCCGCATCAGCCGGGCTGTGGTTCGTTACGTTGGACTACGTGCGGCCAGCAGTAACAGCCTGGTTGATCAGACTCTGATCCACCGGGAGGCCTGGCCGTTGGACCGGGCCGCGGGAGTGATGATCCCCAGAATACCCTCCAGTTAGACTCACTGAAAAGTCAAAGATCCACTCTTCTCGACAAGTGAAGTCTTCGCAGAGTAAAACTTTCTCTGATATACGGACGCAACACATGTAAAAAATGGAAACTAATGACAACGTTCATCTCTTATCTTTATCTCTTTTCCTTATATCTTCAACTTTTCTATATTTTCATTGCCTTTTCTGTCTTCTGCCTTTGGTGGATTCTGCCTTATGAGGGTTTCTTTGTCCCACAAGGGATTTTGTCTTACCCCGTGGGCCAGTAGCTCTTCTGCAGTGCTCCTCTGTTTATAGACTACCTTCACTATCATTATTATGCTGTTTCTTTGCTAATACTCTGCTCTAACCCTTTCTTTACTACTACTATTTCTTATTTCCACCTTTTACCATTGCTTCACCACTTCTACTGCTACTGTATACAACAGGCCAAGTGTCTAATCGACATGTGCCTAGGACAAAATGGTAACTAACTACTACTCAATTAAATTTATTATTTGTAACTGCTGTCTGCCTCTTATTGTTACTTCTACTAACTATGCCTCTCTCCTTCCCTCCCTCTATCTTTCAGTGTGTTAATTATGCCGACTCTCACTCACTTGCTACTTCTGGCCTCTTTCTGTCTCCTCACTACTACTCTGTCTGCTGCTGCCGCTACTACAATACTCCAAGTCATACCACGGTGGGGATAGAACCCCCGATCATAGTCATAAAACTCAAATATATTCTGGTTCCTTTTTCTCTGGCTTCTGTGTGACTACTTAGTGGTCAAACTCGGAACAAAACGTGGTCAGTTTCATTCAGTTATGTGCGGGTTATTTGTGTATTGTTCCAGCCCCGGTATTGTGCCTCTTCATTCTTTTCTCTGATATTATCACCGTAACTGTTTTGAGATATTTATAATTATTTTTTCTTCTGATAAAGTGTACTAACATTCAAAGTTTAAATCAATTTAGAAGAGGCAATTCCATGTAATCTCACAGAAAAAAATATCTCTATTTTTTCACTAAGTTAGCAGATTAGTACGCAGAAAGACAGTAGCAATTCAAACCTTCCTTTAACCACGATACACCAGCGTTGAGCTGTAAAGTCAGAACATTCGTTATTGTTTAATTCATGTTAAGCGCTAAACCCATGTGGTCAGGCTAAAACGTTGTTTTAAAAATAGGTTAGATAAATACATGAGTGGGTGTGGGTGGGTGTGAGTTGGACCTGACTAGCTGTGCTACTAGGTCTGATGCCGTGTTCCTTCCTTAAGTGGAAGTGACCTGCCTCGGTGGGTCATTGGGCTAATCCGGGGGAGGGGAGGACATGGACCTGCTTCGCATGGGTCAGTAGGCCTGCTGCAGCGTTCCTTATTTCTTATGTTCTTATGTAGACTTCATCCTCCGTCTGCTGAGCACCACAGCTTGGTACATACACTCACCTACCATGCCGGAGCTCATAGCTTAAACCTAAAGAACGATCGTTAAGTTATCATAGTGACATAGTTGCTTTATATTTAACTGACATCTGCAAAAACCAAACAATCCGAACCTTACCTTAAGATAACCAGTGTTGAAAGTTTCAACATGATCAGAATTTGTGTTCCCAAGTTTTTCACAAGGAAACTTTGGAGGAAAAAGAACCCAACAATCATTAGAGGTGTCCCATTTAGGGGGAGACCTAATAAATCTCTCTTACTCAAGAAGGAATATACAGCTGCGCTTCACAGTGCCAGCTATATAAACGACGTGTGACACTTATCTTGGACACAACCTGCAAG